TGCGCCGGCCTTGTGGAACAATCTACCCGTAGAGATCCGGACCCTCACCACTTTCCCGGCCTTCTGTAAAGCCACCAAGACCTGGCTGTTCCGGCAGGCCTAGGGCTGTTTGATTAATATCCAGCCCCTCTTGGACAGAATGGATGTTGGGTTAATTTTAATATTGTATTTCTTATTTTTAAATTTTTAAAAATGCTTTTATCTTGCCTGTGAGCCGCCCAGAGTCTCAATGGGAGTGGGCGGCATACAAATTTCATTAAACTAATCTAAACTAAACTAATTTAGTAAATCCTTCAGAAGATTTCAGTAAGACTTCTTACTGGTATTCAGCCTGGTGATCCCGCCTGCTGTTGCCGACGTCTTTCTAGGCAAACTAGAACTTGGCCATGGATTTGGTAGGACAGAATCTTTGCTTGAACTAGATACCAAATTATTTCTTGGGCTTATTCCTAAGGTCAAAACGAGACAGCTGTTAAAATGCCGCAGATATGTTATAAATTAATATATCTTTTTTCTCTTCTATTTCTGTGCTATTGTAATTCCCAACCGACTTAATTATTTGCAAAGGTTACTTCTCATTGGCACTGATTATTCTTTTCAGAATAAGAAGATTCTTTCTTCTTAGAAGGAATCCAGTGGTTAGGACAGTTAATCAGTAGGTGCCTTTAGAGAAAAGAAACAGGACGTGCTGGAATAATGAAGAAATGGCAAAGCTCAGAGACAACATTGTGTCACTTTACCTAGTTAATTTAAACAGCTGAATGGTGCAAATTTACTGTGAAAGCTGACTGCTAATTAGTACAAAAGATCTTTCTGTTGCCATTCTTAGTTTTCAGCCAGAGGAGGGCTTCAACACCAAATCACAAGCTTGCATTCTGTCTAGTTTTGATAGACATACCATTTAGCTAGGACAGTGGTTCCCAAACTTGGCAACTTTAAGACTTGTGGACTTCAACTCCCAGAATTCTCCAGCCAGCGCTGCTGGCTGGAGAATTCTGGGAGTTGAAGTCCACAAGTCTTAAAGTTGCCAAGTTTGGGAACCACTGAGCTAGGAAATCACCATTGTTTTGACTGAAAAGCTGTTTGATTGCAGTTGCTGACCCTAAGGATAAAGGTGAGCAATCTTCCAGCAGCTAATTACCTGCAGCCTTTATTTATTTTATTTTATATTTTTGAAAGATGCAGTTAAGAGCCACAATGGAGGAAGAGTTCATTGTCTGATTAGAGGGGAGAATTATTTCACTTGGTTATGGGTGTGTTAAAGGCAACAAAAGTTGACATCCCTTTAAAATGCTCTCCACCAAAAACTGATGGGAAATTCAGTTTCTGTTTGTTGTTTGCCAGCAAAATTTGGTGGTTTCTAGGAATGACAGGAAGACTAATGTTGCCTGTCTCTTTTGCAGGCTATATTTTGACAATTTACAAACGGGGGGGAGGGGGGGAATCATTTGCGATGTATTTCAAGTTTTAGACAAGTCCAATTTACGTTGAACCGTGAAACTTAACAGTTTGAGCAACTTGTTCCTTTCAAATCTGGCATAATTTGCAGGATTTCTGTGAAAGTAAACCAGCTACGATCAAAAAATCAGACTGAGCTCCGTGGCGGGAAGGATGGCACCAGGATCATAAACTGAATAGAATTTAATCTGTGAAAATGTTCTCTGCACAACGCACAATGAAGATACTGCTTGCGCAGGGCAGAGCAAATTGATAACATTTTGAAAAGTCAGCTGTTTAGAACATCTGCTGCTATTTGGACACATGAGCAAAGGACACAAAAACAACAATTTACACAACAAGCAGTTTGAGGCTATGAAATCAAATGGTATTTCTCCCCCCTCCCCGCCCCCCAGTCTAAATGCCAATGAAATATCACAGTAAAGAGTATGGTTTGGGTTTGCTTGTTTTACTAACCAGGTAAATACCTAGAATGTTTCAAGTAATGTTGTTTGGCTGCAGAAACTTGGCGTGTTGGCATGTCCTGTTGCAGGTAGGAAGGTGCGCTGTTTCCCGTCCCTATGCAGGCTGAAGGTTTCAGGTCCAAAATACTTTCAAATCTGTAACCAAAAACAAAATAACCCACTTCACACACTCACAATACACCACTCCGTATCAATTCACATGGGGTTTTTTTTCCTGACCAAAAGAAGCTGCAACTGAGTCGAGGTGGCGCAGTGGTTAAATGCAGCACTGCAGGCTACTTCAGCTGACTGCTAGTTCTGCAGTTCGGCGGTTCAAATCTCACTGGCTCAGGGTTGACTCAGCCTTCCATCCTTCCGAGGTGGGTAAAATGAGGACCCAGACTGTGGGGGCAATATGCTGACTCTGTAAACCGCTTAGAGAGGGCTGAAAGCCCTATGAAGCGGTATATAAGTCTAACTGCTATTGCTATTATTGCTATTCCAGGGTTGCTATTGTGGGGGAAAAACAGAAGGAAGGAGTATTGATATCTTTGACGCCCTGAGTTGCACAGAAAATAAAAGATGGGATAAAAATCTAAAACAAAAACCTAAAGGTTCAGCGCAAATTCCAACACGTGTTTTTCTGATGCTCAAATACCAAAAATAACTACGTGCTAGAATGGTTAATTCATGTCACATAGAAAAAGACACATAATGTTCAGATGTTTGCTCTGCTCCACCACGTACCATATTTTTCAGAGTATAAGATGCTCAGGACTATAAGACACACATTAGTTTTTGGGAAGGAAAACAAGGGGGAAAATATCTGCCTCTGCTACCAGCATCTATTGGTATTTACTTGGCTAGCTTCCTTGCAGCAAACAGCATGGTCAGCTTCAGCACATTCATCACACCCTGATTCAGCATGAGCAGCTGATTGTCACGTAGACCCACCTGCCAGAATACCCGCAATCAGCTGTTCCAGGCTGCGGGGATCGCCACAGCCCATCGCCACCTCCGCGGGTCGTGTTTTTGGTTTTCACGCATCATGCTTGATTGGTTCCCGCTGCCGCTGCTCCCCACCTAGAACCAGCTGAAAAAGCGATGTGCAGAGGCCGAAAATGCGACGTGCGGAGGCGCTGATTGGTGGCGATGTGCTGTGACGATCCACGCAGCCTGGAACAGGTGTAAATCAAAGTGTGCGGAGGTCAAAAACGTGACACGTGAAGGCCAAAAACAGCCAAAGGGTGGAGGCCAGCAGGTTGGCGGAGCTTCGGCAACAGTCGCTGTATAAGACGCACAGACATTTCTACCCATTTTTGGGAGGGGGGGAGAAAGTGCATCTTATACTCCAAAAAATACGGTAATTGTTATGCAAGGTTATTTAGAAGGAGTCTCCAGTGAAGGAAATAGGACTCAAGTCTTAATAAATATACATTGTCCTTCTCTGAGAGTAAGCTCCATTAAACGAATTGGGATATACTTCTGAATAAATATGCGAATGAATAGCTAGACAGCTATTGGACAGGCTGAATAGCTATTGATGAGGTAGTTTTACCTTAATATCAAGGTATCTTTATATGTTTGTCTTTTTTATCCCTTGTCTGTACCCCTTTCCCTGACTGAATTGTGAGCCGCCCTGAGTCCCCTTCGGGGAAAAGGGCAGCATATAAATGTAATAAATCCAATCCAATCCAATATGTTAACTGAGCAAAATCACCACATGATACACAAATGCGTATTTACACAAGATACTGAAAATGTGATTTTGTGCCCTTTGTCGCTCTGTAGGAGTACAAACTGGATGCACACATGGTGCCAATACAATTTGTGCATTCACATTTCCTCAGAAAAGGTGATGACTAAGTTCAACTTCAATTGATCTTACGTTAAGCAGGAATGGAATATATAGCCTATAAATCAGGGAGGAGCTATACGCAGCCCTATGAGGATGTCTGAACTTCCTCTCAGCTCTAGCCAACGTGGCTAATAGTCCTCCATCATCGGAGAAGCCATATATTGCCCTTCCTTATTTTTAAAATATATCATTAGGATAGGAATTGCGGGCTGGGGAATTCTGGGAGTTGAAGTCCAAACATCTTAAAGGTTGAGAAATAGATCATACACACGGGGACTCCCAGGCTTACCTACAAAGAGCATCATCAATCTGCCCTTTGTTTTTAAAGTCCGTTCTGCTGAGGGAAGACTTCCTATCACTCTCTTCCACAGTATCCCACTCCTCAGAACTTTTTAGCGTTCCAATAATGTGGCCCCATTTATGTCGGTTCTTTGGTTTGAGGTCAACATTGGCTTCTTCTGTGGCAATGGAAGTTGTCTGTCAAAATAAAAATAGGCCAGAATTTAAACTGCTTTGCAAATAAAAGGAAGTTGGGGATCACTCTACGTAAGCATGTGATTGGCTTCCCGATGTGATTTTTCATTCTCCTATAGCTGCTGGAATCTGATCCCATGGTCAATTTCCTCTCAAAAACGAAGATATTGCATTTATAGGAAAGCAGCGATTCAGACAATGCAATGTACACACAGAACAAATGTGCATAATTTATTCCAACCATAGAAAGCTTCTCCAATAGAAAAAAGCTTAGCTAGATAGACAGGTCTATTACAAGATAAAGTATCCCACGGATGTGCATTGCGAAGAATAGAACATCATTTGAAATGGGAACAATAGTTAATATTGGAGCAGAAATGAAGCAGCATGAAAACAAAACTTATAAAAGAAGGCTAAAAACAGTAAACAAAGCTGAGTACAAAAGCAACTGCCACAAAAACTAAATAAAACTATCTCCAGGTCCTTTCCTATTTTTCTTTTGTATGTTCTTATTTCTAGTAATATTTCTGTAGTGGTTTGCAAATACTGATGAAAAGTTTCAAAGTTTGTTTCAAAGTTTAATAGCATTTGTATGCCGCCCAATCCCGAAGGACTCCGGGTGGCTAACAATACAATAAATCAAAAAGAATAGAA